GCTTTGAAGCGAGTGGGAAGAAGGTTTGAAATCCTGTGAAAGAAATGCGCATTTGTCTTTATTCGAATTATGTTGATCATTTTGTTTCATATTATTTTGTGTGATTGTTTAATGCTTGTGTTTTTTGCAGTTTTGTTCGTTCCGTTACCATGGACAAATGGAAAGACATCGAAATTGAAAAGGTGAAGGTTAGTGGCAATCGCCAGTGCTTGGAATTTCTTAGTAGTCAGCCGGATTACCGTGCCGATTGGTCGTTCAGTGAAAAGTGGAATTCCCGGGCAGCTGCTTTTTACCGCGATAAAGTACGTCGACATATGCTGTCGATTGTGTGGTTTACTGGCTATTTTTGACGATTTTTGTCTTTTGGCCATCCTCCTCCAAAGCTAGCCATGGTATGAGCAGGCGCAGTACTCACATTAGTGATTCTGGTACTCAGCTTTTTTTCTGGCTCAGAATTCGTAACTTTACTATTGAAATCACGTTAATTTCCTGACTTTGCGTTTACATATTCAGTGATAGGGCCTCTCATTTGTGGATATTTTTTAGATCCAGAACAACATGCTTTCATAAATCCTGACTCCCGTTAGTTTAAAATGTCAGTTTAGCGTTGAAGATTCATAGGGGGGTTGCTCGGTCAGTTTAGCATCGGATTCACAACTGACGCGTCCTGTATTCTTAGCGCCGGTCAGATCACTATCCTTTCTTCCTACTAAGATGTTTCAGTGAACGCCACTTGGTGAGAAGAAGCAGTAGGCCTAACGAGGTATGGTTGTTACTTAGTTGTATGTTCGAAAATCTTGGCCAATTATAGACACGGCGGTTTGCGAGCATGGCGCCATGGAAGTTCGATACGATAAGTGACACCTGACCATGAAAGTGAAAGGGAGACTGATATCCCATCGGTTAAAGACTATTCAATCCTTTCAGTGTAGCTCAAGAAAAAGCAGTTCGCTGGAGATTCGTTAAATAAGGCATTAATTACCGATTTTGTAGTCACATTTGCTAAATAAGAAATCCTGCTGCTTCTGGACGTTTCGGCATTTGTCTATGGTCCAATTGACTGTGTCGTACCAGGTTTTGAAGCAGTAGCTGTTGTGTAAAACGGTTAGGACTTTGCTACTTTGCTGATGTGATTTTACAGCTTTTTGGAAATTTGCTTAGTACTTTGAAATTAGCAAAGTAGGCACGGAGGGAGGGTAGTGGACATAGTAGAAAAACAGCAAAGGGAAAACATAGAGAGTGGAGGGCAGTCAGTGAACTCATCCTGCCTTTATATTCCGATGCAGGAATGAGTACGACAAATTAAAGTGTCTGTAAAAGGGGAAAAAGGTCATTCTCTATTCAATGGAATGTCGATCTTCCTTCTGGTGACCCTGTTTTTTGTTTTCATCGAAGAACGAGAGGGAAGAGCAGAAAAAGAATAGAGTATGTAGAATGTTGATAAAGATAAGTAAATCGAATTGGAAAGGGGTAATTAGAAGGAAGAAAAAGAACAGGACTATGAAGGATCCAAACGACTTAGTTTTTTTAAATGTACCTTAGAAAATATGAACGACTGAACAAGGCCAATCTCTTTTGAAGGAACGGCTGATGCTGATCCAAGAACCATCGTAAATCTCTGTGAGCGTGGCATCTCTGAGATATAAAGTTTAATTAATTTACGCATAGCTTTGGCTACTAGTACTGTTTCGGCTTGCGCTAGGCCTGTTGATGGTTTACGCCAATGATGGTCATCACTGTTTGACAAGCATTGCAGTGAAATCCAGTAACAGCGAAAGCGCTTTGGTTTGGTTCTGGTTATAGCCATAGAGGCGTTACAACCAGTTTTTTACTTAGCACGTTTACTCAGTAAACTTAGATAATAGACACCTTGAAACAGGATTATTTAGGTAGAGACTTATGTTAATTGGTCGACAGTCGATGACATCCTTTATCACAAAAATCTAAGCAACATTTGTTAAACGTAACACTTTCTAAACAGCTCCTGCTGTTTTGGTTTTATGGAAGCCTTGCTTTTTAAGTATGATCGAAATTCGATGCCGCTTCATTTCGAATACTTCCTTTCTCTGGCTTTGGCTTGTCTTATGGCTACGAGAAGATTCCCCCTTCTTCCTAAAAGTGGACGGGTTTTTGAGTTTTTCTAAAGTTCGATCTATCCTTCGTCTATGTCTTTTTGGTTTTTCTGATGCGAACCAGTCGAAATCGAGTACCTATTTTTTGGCCAATAGGCCAGTGCTACCCAAGTTTGAGTATTTGCAAAATTAGCTGTTCGAATAGATGGTTTTGATTTGACAGTTGATGGATATGAGTCTTACAGGCGAAAGTGTTGTTGTGAGGCTCGGGCTTTGCGTCTTCGACAAGTGAAGAAGTTGCTGCGAGAGCGTTTGCCACTCTCTTGCAGGACTGTCGCCTTTCAAGAGCAGCGAATCTTTTTTTCAATGGGAGGACTTCGAACTTTTTGTCTTAGGCTGAACCGATCATTTCGGTTATGGCAGTGTTTTAGTCGTTTATTGTCTCTTTTTACTTCGATATTATCTTTCGTAAATCCATAACCAAGACCGAGAAGAAATTTTGGTTTCCAGTAGTTTCTGTTTCTTTCCGTCTTTGCACTTTTCTTCATCCCGATGTGTTTCTTACTTGTTCGTTGGAACCCTCCCCCTTTTCTTAGTTTCTTTTGCCAATCGTCTCTTCTCTAGCTCTAACAACTTGTCTACCGACTCTGGCTTTTGTTCTTTTTTAAACCGGCTATTCGGAGAGTGCTGTACTCATGACGGTACTCTTTGTCTGACAACTACTTTAATGCAAAGAGCGTTCATGTCAGCTTATAAACTACGTATTCTTTGTTTGTAAGATTAATCTAAACACCTGCTGTTCTTTCGATTCGTAACAGTTCTGACGATAGTTTTCATTTTTTCAGGTGAACTCGTTGGCTCTAGGGAAACCATGGTCGCCGGAGACGTCGCCGGCGCGCAATTGGATTCCGGGCATATCAGGCTTTATAAAAAATTCTCAGAGCTTCGCCGCCGCCAACAGCAGTCTCGAGGAAGACTTCGGTGTTTCGCAGTAGGTGTTACGTTCGAAGACAGGTCTTGCAAACACTCTTATGCTCTAGGAAGGACATCGTCTTTCAAAAGGATGACTACTTCGGCGAACACGACCCCGGTATGTCGCAACGTGACAGCTACCATGGCTACGGCTATGCGCCGCATAAAGGCAAGTTCAGCGGCTTCGGCAGCGTGCCGCCGAAGAAGGAGCACCAGAAGCCGGAGTTCCTGGAAAGTGCCATATCATCATTGTCCGTCGGCTGGTCGGCCCTCAGTCGTACGGCTGCGCATGCAGCGTCTTTCGCCAAGGACAGCGTACGTATCTTTTTATCGCGTACACTTCCTCAAGCAATGCGTCCGCTCCACATTCATCCAGTGTAACAGCATTTCTCGAAACTGTTTTTGTTTTCTGCCCTGAGCTTGGTTTCCTGTATCCTGTGCCTGTCCGTACGTTTAAGAACGTCTGATTTACGGATTTTGTACGTTGTTCGTAATGTTAAATGGTTATTTTTTACCTTACAACGAAGAAGCAACCTTCGTCCGAACGTGTTCTTCGTGAGTTACGATCGCGCAGCAATACAGCGGTGCGCAGCACATGGAAAATGCGGCATTGACTAACTTTCCTCAGCCTCCCAATTGTGTCTCTTGAGAGATCGTATAAGGAGCAATTCCTCTGTAAACACAGATCGTCCCGTACATGCATGCATAGTAACTATGATTTAAATGAAGACCGTAGCTTATTTTTTGTTTACGTTAATTGTGATGTTTTCAGTTTATACTGTAATTGCAGTAATTGCCGTATGATGTAACCATTTGCTTTAGCACTGTAATAAGTGATTAAATAGGTAATAACTGTCATAAAAGGTTTTGTTGTTCTTATTTTTTATGATTGTATAGATTCTAGCATATGTGGGGAAAATTAGACATTCAATGCTTGATTTAAGAGTAGTAAAAGAGTCAAAATTCTTTACAATGAATTTAACGAGAATTTCTTTTTAGATGCACGAATTTTCTCCGTTCGATCCGATTTCAGGAACGAACTAAGATCGTAAATAAATGGTTAAGTGTCCATTTATTTGTCACTGATCCATGGTTTAAGGTACAAGCAGCTTGAATGAGGGATCCTGTGACGATTCAGACTTTTTCATATGTCCATAGTACTTCTAGCAGAGGAAGTTCCCAGTGATCGAGATACTGGGTTTAAATGCAAGTTCAAAGATACTTTATTAAACGCAGGTGAATATTATTTTTTGTTTATTACTTAAATACCTTAAAACAGATTCGGGGTGCACAGTCACTGTCCAGTTTGGAGCTGCCACCTCACGCGATCGCGCACCTCGTCGTTGTCAATCGATCACCCTTAAAATTGACGCATTCAGCTGCAACGCAACTTCCTCACCTCTTCTCCTTCGTTTCAATGAGGAGTTTTGCTCCGGAACCATAACACTGGTTATTTTTAACTTTCGATGTTAAAACTGCTTTGAAGTGACAGCTCTATGCCTATGCGCATGTGTCATTTATACTGAAATGCGATCTGCAACGTAGAGTAAAATTTCACTCCAAGAGTTCAGCGATTAAAATGTATTGCAATGTAGCTTTTAGCCGGGCTAATTGCATTGTCTGTTCCTCCTTAATGTATCACTTTCTTCTTCAAGAAATTCTTGCATTTTTTTGATTACTTGATTAAAAGCACTTTAACTAGCAAAAGTTTGTTTAGCGACCTAATTTCTCTAAATTTACTCGACTTCTTTAAATGCTCATCTCCTCGTCAATTTTCTCATGTCGTTGAATATCTAAATATTGCCAGTCCCATTTTGTCTCGTCTGAAATTTCCCTGAGCGTGCGTCGTGATATCGATACCTGTGTAGAATAACTTTCACCTGGAGAGGTTCAGGATTCCAGAACCTTGCGCTTCGTTGACGAGAGTCCAACTTTTTTGAGTTGGTGCCTTGCGGCGTCATGAATTAGCTCCTGCTCTTTCCGTCCGAGTGCAGATATATTCCAATTTTCGACTGTTAGCTCCCACTGGCGGCGTCGTTTTCGTGGAGCGTTTTCTGCCGTGTTATAATGGCATCGCGCTGTCTGCCTCTTTTCAGAAAGGAAAATGGTTTGGTATCAAACTGGTATCTTCGTCGTCGTTTTGTCAGTCTTCGGTAGCCATTTACGAGCAGCTACGACCCGATGGCCAGAA